ATTAGGGACTTTTCTTAGTTACTCTTTGCAGCTTTATTGTCTAATTTTGGTGTGCGCTGAAAAGTCATTAATGTCCGAGGCAGAAAAAGGAAATTCCCCCTCAAATCCCCAAGTAAAACCAATGACTGCTTGTCCTCCTTACCACCAGCCTCAGCTATTTCCTGAGTGTGGCAGTACGAGATCCAGAAATCCCCAGGTCAAAAGTGAAGCCGAGAGCCTACTCCGCCTATATGATTAACCCTGCCCCTGAGCTAAGAGTATCTGTCTAAAAGAGCAGGATGTTTGTAATGGAATAAAAATCCACTATGTTTTCTGAGAGCTAAAGCATCACCTCTACCTCCCCCTTTTCTCTGATGTGACACGGTTTCGTTGGCGCTGTGTGAAGGGGGCGTAATAGAGATGATTGATAGCGGCATAAAACAGTTGAGACGTGAGATCAAGCCCAAAGGCCAAGAGCTGCAAACCTGGATTCCTGGGAGTGCCGTGCTTCGCCCAAGTTCTCCATACATCCCTTCAACACTTTGCCAGGATCTCGTCCCAGCCCTTCCCTATGGGAACTCCAAATCCATTATCTGATTTTGGCAGCGTGCGTTTTCCCGCCAGCCATGAGAGGTGACTTGTGCAAATGGAATTGCAGGTGCTTTCGGAGGATAACGTCACTGAGTGAGCTGATACCGCTGCAAGCGGAGACCTTCGATGCTTAACCCTGTTAAAAGCACGCTTGTAACGAACAAAACACCAGTTATGCAATAGTCCGGTTACCAAAAGATTGCTGAAAAGGGAAGTAAATACCTCCCTTGCCTGTGTTTTAAGGCAGGGTATAGGATATGTTCTCCGTGCTGCCGGATGGGAACTAGTGGTTTGTCTTTTTCATGACTCATTGCCTTGTCTTATGAACAGGAAAGTCAAAAAAGAATCTGATGGCACTTTGACTGGGATCATTTAGAGTTTTTGCATGCAGCAAAGGACACCCAAACACATCGGGGGACAGTACTCTGGTGACCAAGACCATCGTGAGGGATGGGCTCCAGACCCTTACTGTCTTGAGTCGCCCCATTTCCAGACGAACGCTCCAGCCTCTGGGCTGATAAAGTTACTCTCTCTAAGAAAATTAAGAATCCGTCTTGTTTTAGGCAAATTCAAACCCCCCAAAGGCCCAGGAGACAAAGCTTTCGCTGGAACGAGGGGAATTCTGTCAGCTCCTGTCTCCTGGGCGTCCTCTCTACCAGCCTACTCTTGTTCCCCAGGGAAAACATCCCACTCTGTCTTCTGAAGCCCCTCCTTTTCCCCACAAAGGGCTTGGCGTCCCCCTGCCATTCCACTTGACTCGCAAATACAGGGGCTGGGAAAGAGTCGCTTCCGCTGCTCAGAAACCGGGCACGATGTCGTGCAAACACTTGTGGAAGTTTACATGGGGAGCAGACACATAAAAAGCAGCACGTGTCCTAAACATCGGGTTGTTGGCTTGCCATACGAGGAAGTGATAGCAAGGAAGGAGAAAAGCTTAGGTCAGTTTGTGATTTTTTTTCAAAATTAAGTGTCTAAATATAGATGGTTACGTACCCTCAGTCAGCTCATGGCTGGCGCTGGACTTTCCTGAATCCCTCTGGGATCACAAAATAGCAGTACAGCTTTTTAGGTGATTTGCCTTTTAATTTATGTGTTTATAAATATAATAGTATAAGTATGTATTTATGTGACTGCGTATTTATTTATGATCTATGTTTCAGCTCTGCTTGAAAACAGTCACTTCTGTATCGTAGCTTTCGGTTAAAAAATTGTTGTGGGTTAAATGAAATGTTTCATTTGATCCAATTCAATATGAAGAGTCATTGACAATATAAGTGTAAGGTATCCAGTAATACTAGAAAATGATACATTAATATTCATTATAATATTAACATACAATATTAGCAAATATTAACAAATATTCCTATTAAAAATAAATTTGATCTCCCTGATAATAACAGAGGCGATACTAAGTCCAACTAGAGAATTGCTGGGGACCGGCAGCTGGGGGTTTAGCTGCTCTACGGGGGCTGCGTTTGTGGCTTTAGTTGCATTTCCCTTTCACGAGTTTGGCAGGAAGCATTTTCGGACTGTGGGAATAAGATATGGAAGTGGCGGGAGGAAACACATGCTAAGTTTTAAGAAGTTTGTGCCGGGAAGTTTTGATTAAATTAGAAGTGGTCAGTAGACATAATACACGTCACGCATTCCTCTCTGACTCTTAAAATGTCGTTCGCTGTCATCTTGCTCTCTGCTTAAACCACAGCCGATGCAGCCTGGCAGACGCTCGCCTGAACGCTTCCTGGCAGCGCCATCGCGGCAGGGTATGCACAGAGGCGGAGAGGTTCTCTGTAGCGCTCACGTGAATGCAGGTAAATAGCCTGCCTGTGAAAGAAGTGCAAATATGTAAACGTCCGAATCTTGACTAAAAATATGCCGTTCAGTATTACAAATGAGATCTGTTTTGCATAAAAGGTGTTATATATAAACTTGCTGATCCGTTGGATCTCAAGCCGCTGGATAGGTCAAATCTTGCTGTTTGTCAGAACTTGGGGAGCAGCAGTGGGAAGGAAGAATCGATGTATTTAGTCAGCTAACGAATTCCGATTGGAATCCAGAGTTGCTCTGGTCAGGGGTTCCGGTGGGGGTCAGTCCCTATCAAGAACGAGACTGTCCTGAGCGTTTCCTACATGGCTCTCTGCAGTCCGATGTTCTGTCTAGCCTGCGGCTGTCCCCCAAACCCCAAACCCCGCTCTCCCACCCTGGGGCTCAGAAGACCAGAGTCCACAGGGCCGTTACGGTGTTTTTGCCTGCCGTCCTCCATTCCTCTGACCACATATCTCTGGTCTGGTGATGGCTGCTAAGATCTGCACTTTAGCGCTTTCTGTCCTCAGAAACTAGGTTTGTATTGCCAGGCATAAACGACGTGTAGCAAATCATGAAGAGAAAACATCTTTAACACCCTTTTTGACTGTAGAACGAAATTAACAATAAATGCCATTGGAATTCACACACTAAACCGATGTTTAGTCTTATAAGCAGTCCTCTGGACCCTTGAGCAGTAACATTTTACATAATAAATATGTAAGCTGCAAAATCCTTTCGCAAAGCAAAAAATGTCGTCTGTTATAGTATCAGGTAGAACTAACGTGAGAGAAAAAAAACCTGGAAAATATTTCCTGTTATATTAAAACAAATAACGTGTTCTCTTCTTCAGGAATATGACTTCTAAACTTCTCTTTGTATATACGCGTCTCTCTGCCTGCATCTTCCTATCTGTAAGAGGAAACTGCAGCACAATAAATATCGCTTCAGAAATAACACAGGTAATTTACTGTCTCTAATTTTAGCTGCTTCCTTCTGAAAGCCATTGACTCATAGTCATTAGGCTACCCCGAGGCTGGCAGTGTCTGTAGAACTGTTGATGAGCCATAGCGAGGCACCTCACAGGAGGTGGTTTAGGTGTCGGTCCACGCTGACTTGCTTGCAGCTGTGCTGCAGGTACACCCAGTCAAATACTGTTTAGCTAAAGTCGCTTGCAAACACTCTTCATTTCCTTCAGTCAGTCACATTTTAATCAACATTCCCCGTTCCAGTGAGTGGCACGTCTCACAGATCATTTTAAAGATATGCCGCCAAAAAAAGTATTTTCTGGGTACTCATAGAAAATGAAGTAAATCTATGGTCTTTGTAGAACACATTGCTACAGGTGTCAGGAGCGGCTGGTGGAGGATCTCTGCCGCTTTCCCAAAGATGGTTCTTTCATGGAGAAATGGGTATGAATTCACTTCTCGCGTGGCCGCCCAGAGGTATCTCACCTTTGAAAGAAAGAGATCTGGTTTGCTCCATCAATTCTTGCATGGAGCATTTGTTCATCTTTGCTTCACTGCCTTCAGCATTTCCCAACTCTGCTCTGTCTTCTTGAAGATGGGAGCCAGGGGCTGCGCAGTGCTCCGTGGGTGGACGCGGGTGAATCTCGCCGTTACACGGCGGCATAACAAATTTTAGTAGTTAGTTCTTATTCGTGCCCTAGTAACTCCTAACATTATGTTTGGATGAGTTGGGTTTCTGGGTTTTTTTTTTGGTTTGGTTCTGAACTTTTTTTCACTGCTGAGCCCTGATCTGATATTCCTATCGTACAACTTGGCATAATCCCAAGATCTCTCTCCTGCGTGCTGAAGGTCAGCCTGGAATGCCTCAGTTTTATATGAGCTTTGTAATTTTTTCCTAGGTCAATCACTTTGGCTATTTCCTGCAGTGAATTTCACCTGGTAGTTTATTGCCTCATCAATGAATCTCCTAAGGTCCTTCTGCAGTTCTTTATAGTGGAGCCTAGTCTTTACTACTCTTCATTGAGTATCATTAGAATACTTCAGCCCGTAGCCAGTGACCTTCCCAGGCCACTTGTGGATATGCCAAACCAAAAAGGACCCCGCACCAGCTGCTATAGGAATCCGTGGGTGATGTCCCTTCATCAAAAAAAGCTGACCTTTTCATTCTGTCCTTCATTTCTATGTATTCACCTGTTACGTATCCATTTCCAAGACGTCTTTCTTAGCCTCGTTACTTCTAGCGTTTGGTGAGGGTTGTGAAAGGATTTCAGACAGACGGTGGGACTACACCTGTGGGACCTTCCACATCCGTAGGCTTGTTGTCACCTTCAGGGAACTGTAACAAGTGCGTGAAAGAAGACTTCCTTCAAAGCTACACAGACTCTTCCTTAGTATATGTTTATTCATGTGTTTGCTAATGGTATCCTTCCTACTTCTGGTTTAAGTAAGGCCATTTAAGGGTAACTAATTTCCTCTAGTTTATTCTTGTCCTTGCAGCACTAACACACATTCATTAAGCTTGAATTCCTTGATCCATCACAGTTAGAATTTGAGAGAGAGACACTGCCAAGGAAATCAGTAGAGGGGATCAAATGTAGTAACGTAGCAGAAGGGGGGTCTGTTCCTTGGCACTCTCATCAGCAAGCGTTTCCTCTCTTTTCATATCCTTGAAAAACTCCAAGGTGTATTGTTCCTGGACTTTTCTTTGGTTGGTGACTCAGTATTGTCTCTGGACGTGTCATTAGGTGAAGTATAAAGTGAATTCAGAAATTTATTAATGAAACAATTACCATTAATACAAGCTACAGGGAGAGCAACAGGTGCTCACAAGTTGTTAATGACCTATTTTTACCGTACCAACCAAATGACACGTGTGCAAAGACAAAAAATCCCGTGTTTACACAAGTACTGCTCCAACAGAAAGGACTTCCACGTGCCTACGTCCAAATTGTGCGAAGCAGGGACCCGATAGTCCCCATTTAGAGCAGCGAAAGCTAATAAGCTTAGAAATGCCAGCTGTCCATCTGAATTATACCCACGTCGTGGTTTAACCCCAGCCAGCAACTAAGCACCACACAGCCGCTCGCTCACTCCCCCCCGGGCGGATGGGGGGGAGCAGCGG